AAGATACAAATTATTTATATACATGTACTGATTATTTTTTTTTAAATATGACCGATATACATTTGAAACTATTTCCCTTAATTTTATTTGACCAGTGAATAGGAATATGGTACATGGTCATGTGAGATACCAAACATAATGAAATGAATGTGAAGCAATCATGAAAGTCTGGATGTGATTACAAATAGTAAGTAGTTGTCATAAAGGTATATCAAAGATAGCAATCTCATTTAGCGTTATACTATGCTATGCTAGTTCCTTGGAGTTATATGATAACTGTCTTCCAAGATCACGTCTGTAATCAGTTGTCCTATGAATGTTACTAATGATGCAAGATCTGCCTAACTTTCTAAAGCACTTTGACTCCGAAATTTAGTTGAATTTTAGAAACCTTGGTTATCTAGTTAGAATAATCATTTAACTTCGAATGAACATTTCAAGTTGAACTTCGAGTTGTTACTTCAAGTTGAATTTCGTAATAAAATCATAAAATAGTGTCAAATTTGGTATATTGGAAGATGTGAAGGCAGCAGTTCGAGATAAAATTATGTACATACAACACGCTTCTTAAAGTATCAATACAGTGACTTAATTTTTGGTCAATATACAAAAACTGTTGGTAAAACTGTTACATTATATTGATTAATAATGATTTGAACCATTGATGTAAAGAAATATACCTTAAGAATAGAAAGATGCATATGTTACTAGTCAATTGCGATTATGATATATAAAGTTGTCACATCAATCGACAAAATTACGAAGAGAACTTTATACAGGGAGTTAATCAGTGTTTTATGTTTGTCCTAGTAGTTTACACCTTTAGAATATTTTCTGACGTACTTTATTTGATTTTTTGGATTTTATAAATCACTGTTACTTCTCGTACAACTAACTTTTTGCAATCAATTCCAAGGAAAAATTAAAAGGATATTTCGGAACATCATTGAATAAGTGTTGCCTTAATTAATCTTAGTATTACATAGAGCTTAAAATTTGTAATAATTAAAAAGCCATGCTTTTATTACCTTTTCCTTCGTGCAGAGAATATATTTCTCTTTTTCTTGACCCTCTTATAAAATCTTTTGCTAAAATCGCTGGTTTACAACGATATAGTTTATATATTTTTAAACCTATTGTGTCTTACCTGTGTGGAAACCTTGATTATGGAATGTAGATATTGAATATTCAACTCGTATTTATAGTATTTCAACGACTTCTGAAGCGTAGCTGACCATTATAACCGCAATTTGTGAATGTGGTTTTGTCACTAAAATGATGAGCAGTTTGACATCCAGGAAAATATGGTTTTTATTTATTGATAGATCACTCTATGGTTTATAAGTCGATTTTTGTTTTAAACATTTGTAATTTTGTTGTTTATTACTGACAGGACGTAGAATTTTTGTACTTCACATATGTTTTGAATAATAGGAAAAATGATTTAACAACAAAGAATTCATTTTTCTCTACTTTATAGCATTGTATATTTAATGTACTTTGATTGTTGAACAAGACAAACACAAATAAAGTCAAAAAGTATGAAATTAAAAACAATTCTGATTCATGTTTCAAAACACGCTGCAGAATTATAAATACGGGTGCAAGATTTGATATTTACATTTCCGTATCAAGGTTGCATTAAAGGTAAGAAGTAAAAGTTTTTAGAAATAAATATAACGTTAAAGATAAAAACTACAAAAGGTTTGCACTAGCTTTTATTAGCGGGGTAGCAGAACATTTTGATTGGAAGAAACAGAAATAAAAGCATTGTTAAACGATAAGCAAGAATTATATGCTCTATATACATGAGCCAATAATTTCTTGAAAATACCGTTTATCTTTCTTGGAAAGTTATTATGAAACAGTTTCCATGTGAAGATAATTTAGTTCATACTAATGACTACGCATAAAACACTGATTGACTACCTCAATAAATTTCGCTTTGTAATTTGGATAATAGTGTCGATTAATGAGGGACTTGTATATCATATTTCCGTCGACAACATATACTGATTTAACATTAACATATGTCAATTTATTAATATCTCGCTGATGGAGAATAGTCTCATTGGCAATCATACCAAATCTTCTTATTTTTATATTGCATTTTATCTTAAACTTGAATTTTAACTTGTATTTTCAATTCGAAATTCAACTTGAAATTTTAAATTGACGTTTAGCTGTACTTTAAAGCACCAAGTTAATTTTAATCTGATTTACTTTTGAGGTCAAGCTCTAACTCGACTTAGAGCTGCTGTTGGACGTCTGGTTCCCGATGAAATCATTACCTCAGTGGTTAGTGAGTGTTTTGGTGCTGACATGACTAATAACAAACTTTTCTGAAATTCCACATTAATAAATTTCAAAATTATTAAAAATCCCGTATTCAATTATTTAAGGAATGACTGTGAAGAAATAACCTTGAAAATGTGGTGCTCAATGAATAAGTTTTAATAAGTATGCACCACATTTTTGAGGATATTTCAAATAGACAGAAAAAAACGTCATTAGTTATAATTTAATTCTAAATTCCATTTTTAAGGAGTAAATCATGAAAAACCGTTGATGACATCACGGTCACATGACATAATTATGAGCTGATAGACAAAAAAAACTTTCAGCCAATTAAAAGACATGTTAAATTCAAAATTAAATTGTATACATGGCTTTCATATGTTAGTGTTTGAGTCTTTTTGATAAAAATCCTTAATAAGCGTTTCTAATATAAAAAAAAAGAACAACAGACTATAACATTGCTAAAAACAAAGAAGGCGAAAAGATAAAGAACAGTCTACAAAACACAGGACACTTAAAACTGATAAACTGAGCAACACGAACCCCACTAAAACACTGAGGTTACTACTGATTGTTTTATATCATTTCAAAATAAGAAAAATATTTTCGTACGCACAGAGGTCATTATTTTATAAAGTTTACCCATTTTACCAATCAGCATATGAATAATTTAATTCTTTGTTTCAGATAACAATGAAGCCTATGATTTGCCTCTTCGTCTGCATTTTCTTGTTTGGAATAGCAATACAAGGTATGATTTCAACCATGTTTAAGCAAAGTATCAAATGCTTTTAAACTTATTGCACAATTCTGGCTGAGGTAAAAAATGATAGCATTATTGTCATGTATTTTTGACAGGAGGTGCTTAGTATCCAAATAGATCTTCATCTTCTTTACAGAATCGCTTCGAGTCACGGGTAAGGTCTAAGACAAAGTCGAACCCCATGATTTAAAACAAATGGTAATGGATGTTTCTCTTGTTTGCCCGATCTCATGAGTTTCAAAGATAATTACGTTTAAGCTACAAATAGAAAGTGTTGCCTATTAAACAAATTACATAAATACAGAAATGTGATAATTCTGACGAAAAAAAAAAGTTTCCTATAAGAAGTGGGTTTCATTGGGGTCTAAGCGTGACGCGGTTTTGGCCGATTTTTTGTAAGCGTGACACATGAAAGTCAAATTATTATGCGTGAAAACGGGAAACGAAGTCGGGGGACACGTGCAATTACAAGCGTTATTATTACAACGAAAAGCGGGATACGGAAATCGGACAAAACAATAAGCGGGATTTTACATATTTTTATATTGTAATATATCAGGTTCGACTTACAATAGGAAGGGTCTTGCCTAGCTAGCTGAGTCAGACAACGAATTTGCTATGTATATCGCTCTTATTAAAGCATGATATCATTTTGGAAGTTTGGAGAAAAAAACTGTCATTTTAGGAAAACTGTCCCATAAAATATAAACATGATACAAAAATTTGTATCTACTTTGTCCCTTCAAGTAGGCAATGAACTATTATTAAGGGGCTCAAATAAGCTCACAAATGAGCAAACACAATATTTCACATATGTTGTTTTTAATAATGAAACCCACCTTGCAAGAGAGCATATATTTCTGTGTTAGTAAAAGTCTTTCATTTGTTGAGACAGTAAGTGCAACATACAGTCTTCAACAGTAGACACTTATATAAAAACTATGTCAAGCTCTCGATAATTTCATTAACGTGTAACCAAGCATTTATTGATTCAACAATGTTTACAGCGTATACGTACTCCTAGTGTCAGACACTTGTAACTTAGTATGTTTTACCCATTGCCTTATATATGATATCACTTATTCTTAATATTTCAAAAACAACTGCTAGATGCTATTCATGGGTAAGATAGATGTTATACATGGTTATCTAAGGGAGCAAACATTTAACTTCAAGGGGGGTTATGGTTTTTTGTCTGAGTCAGAAATATTTTTTCTTCAAAATTTAACACTATATAGTATGGGGAAAATCTGGATTCGGAATATTTTTTTTTATCATCTGCTTGACCACAATATTTTTTTCTTCATCAAACTGGGGATCAGAATATTTTTTTAGGAAAAAACCATAACCCCTTTTCCTTGTTTTGTCAACATTTCTTTTTATGATCATGTTAATGTATAATATTAGTCTTATCTTTTTTATTTTTAATTGTTTTTGTTATAATGGGATGATAAAAACAAAAATCATTTATTCTTTGGTAACCTCATTTGGGACTTTTATCTCATACAACTAAACAAACGATGTTTTGAAAATTTGTTGTCATTCGGAACACTACACTATTCCCCATTTCCATTCTTAATTTTACTACTGGTCGTTCAGAATTAACACACACTTAGTATTCCTTGAAATTTAATTGGAATTTATTGGATTAAATAAATAAGCTTTCTCTAATTTCTTTAAGCTGATTAAGACTACGATTAATCAAACATTTATCATTTCTGTTTAGCCTAGAGTATGTCCACCTTGGAAGTAATGCATTCCTCTTCCATGGTACCCATATTACAAATGTGTTCAAAGATGGCGATATGGAAATTCAGGAAGTCCTTGGGAGATGGTAATCTATGGTAGTTGGAGTAGCTACGGCAGTGGAGGAGGGGGTTATGGGGGTGGCGGTATGGGTTATGGAGGCGGCGGTATGGGTGGTTATTGAGGCGGTGGTATGGGTGGCTATGGAGGTGGCGGTATGGGTGGTTATGGAGGCGGTATGGGTGGTTACGAAGGCAGTATTGGTGGTTACGGAGGCGGTATGGGTGGTTACGGAGGTGGTGGTATGGGAGGTTACGGAGGTGGCAGTATGGGTTGTTACGGAGGTGGCGGTAAGGGTGGTTACGGTTGTGGCGGTATGGGTGGTTATGGCGGATGTGGATCTGGCGGTTATGGATCTGGTGGTTATGGATCTGGCAGTTATGGCAGAAAGAAACGAGTTTGTAAGTATGAAATACGGCTCGATTATGAATATTTTTTTTAATTGCTTAATATATGTATAAATTACACAATTAGTATAAATAATAATGTTGTTAATGCTATTGCATTTTGATATATGTATTGGTGTCACTAAACTTTCACCATTATCATAAGAAAATGGAACATCGAGTGTCTCTCAATTGTATCAAACAGTTTTTATCTGATACTATACATTTTTTCCCGTGCTTGAGGGAGATATGAAGATTTGTTCACCCAAGAAGATTCATATCTCATGAGGGCTTTGCCCGAGGGAAATAAAAATGTTCGAGGGTGAACAAAACTTCATATCTCCCGAAGCCAAGGGAAATGAATGTTTTATTCCACTGCCTATAAGTTGTTTACGACCTGAACATAAAATATAAATATACATACATTTGTTATCTTATTCCCTTTTTTTATAACTGAACACGACAAAAACCTTGATAAACAGTACGGATCAAAAGTTAATTATTAGTCTTTTTGTTTTGACGTCTGGAATAAATTTGAACACGATAATGCCTATTTAAAAAAAAAAAAACAAAAAAAACACCAAAACGTTATGTATATTAACCGCGCGTAACGTCGCACGATGAAGTCCCGATCTTCAGAGGGATATATGATGCTCAGAGCGGAATATTAGGTTTTGTTCAATGACACGTGGGATAGTCTTAACCAATCAAATATTGATTAAGCTATCAATATATACAAACAGTGGAACACTACTACTTGTATTGCACTGACGGAAGAACGTTTTAAAATACTTTCATTTCACATTAATTTAATGATTTCATAATTTTAAAATTTTTTTTTATCATTTTCGAAGTGATTATAAGCAATGAATAGATATATACACATTTTTCAAATAAAACTGCAAATATACAGAAGAGTTATACTATCCCCTTGGTCAAAAGTTGTGTATAGATTAGAGAGATTACTACCTAAGGCTTTTCATCTTTCTAAGTTATATAAATGAAATTTAGCAAAATTATACACGAATGTGCACGGACTGAAAAAAATAACATGAGTTAAGAGACTTGAATCGCAAAAACATTTCATCTTCTGTTCCCTCTTTCTAAACGAATGAACAGTTCTATCACGTAAAGTCTTATTTCAAATATCTTACAAATACATAGTACACCAAATATCATTAAAATGTAAAGAACCGATTTCAACAGCATGTGTTTATTCCTTGCAGATGAGGGACAAAAAGATGGAAATTACAACGACTGACCAAATATTTGCATATGTTATTGAATAAATTTGTATATAGAGCAGAACATGTATTTTCTAACTTAAGCCATCGTTTTTCTCCGTTTGTGTGTTTGTTTGGGAGGGGGGCGGTGGGGTGTATATGATATATGATGTGATTGGCAGTGTAACAACTATCCACCATGAACCAAAGGACGAGGATTCTTGGTGATAAACCCCCCTTTTTAGTCCCTACCACTTCCAAAAGGAATCACAATTCCAAATACACTTAAAACATTGTTGTGACGTCATTCTATTGTTGTACCCGTTCTTTATTTCAGTGATTGGACTACAATTTACCTGTAAGAAACCATTATGTTACCTTTTACTGTCCAATATTTTTAAGAATAACCCTCTTCTTTCTTAAAAATATTGGACAGATGGAGGTAGCATAATCGATTCTTACAGATAAATGATAGTTCAAGGACTGAAAAAAATCATTCAATTCACACAATGTGTTTCTTCATATGAAAAAAAAAAATCACAACGAAAAAACAAATGACAATTACACAAAATCATTTTATTAAGTTCACCTTCCAATACAATAACTTCTTTAATTATCAAGACGGTTTCGTGAAAAAAAAAACTTTCAAATTGTTTTTTACACAGCCTGTGTAAATACTTGTTTCACGGCCATTTTTTCTCATTTTTGGAATTGTCTCCTTTGGCATCAATTTGGTTGATAATGTTCGTTGTAAGTACGTTTGTTTTGGTGCTTTTAGATATTTCTTTTTGATAAAGATTTATCCTCGTCCGTCTTGGATATAAAAACGACCTCTGGTGTTGCCCTCTTTCTTCCAAACATCAATTTCAGCTACAATTAAAATAAAAAATAAAATAATGCTTCTAACGCTTGATAGATCATGCCGCAATACAAGGACCACAAGTAAAATAATTTTATCATCATAATTAGGAGAAATTCAAAAATTTGATTTACAACCTAAAAAATCTTATATTATTGCATGTATAGGAATATAATGCAAAACTTCGCTTATCAACGACAGTGAATATGGGAAACAGAAAAACGGAACACGTTACCACAGGTTAAAGAAATCAGTCGTGTGTCCGATTCGCACTTTGTTCGTAGTGATTGATTTTTTTCAAAAACCGGTGTACTCTCTCGAAATTAGATAAACGGCGGTGCTAGATTTAATCGTATGTTTGTTAAATAAGTTTTAGACAGTTTGTAATTGTTTTATATAAATTTTAACATAAAACCCTTTCCTCCATTGGATTGATTGAAAAAGGGGGGGGGGGGGTATTAATAAAAGCATTTTAATCTATATAACATCAAAGTACGAATAACATTTGTTTCTTTCCAATGTATTTATGAACAGTTTCAAATACTTCACTTTAGATTAGGTCTCAATGGTAAATTGATTGAATGCAATATTTATATATTAAGCACAGAAACAAAGATATTTGCACTTACAAAGCTTTGTTTTGATAGAAAAAAAGAAAGCGTTATAATTGCCGAGGGAAATCGAGAGATACTATTATATTTCGGTAACAAGTTAAAAAAAATAGGAACAGCAATACGCAAATAAACCTAAAAAAAGAGAAACACGAACATTGCAAAAAAAAACACAAAAAAGGGGGAAGTATATTCAGATTACGCTTTTAGTTAACAGAAACCGTCTCTTGCAAAGGAACCGCCAAGTTGAGATCAATTTCAGTGAACGAGGAAGGAAAGATGAGGCCTACGTCATACGGGAAAATTGTGAATAATTCTTTTTTTTTTTGTGTATAGTAGGTGAATAGGTCCGATCTATTTCTTGATCTCCGGACATTTCATGGCTATGAATTTAGATATTATAACTATATTAATTTATTCTTACAAATAAAAGATATAAAATTTTCTTCAAAATTCATGAATATGATATAAGATAGGGAAAATCCGATGAACAATAAAAGAAATTAAATTGATTGCACGCTTGTTATCTTTTCATTTGTACTCATTCATTATATTTTATAGGGTTCAGTCTATGGAAAGTGCGAATCGAGAAAACCGTTTCTTATGTGGAGTCGCGATATTTTCTAATATGAAATTGTAAATATGCAGATACTCCATGAGGAAAAAGATGTTTTTTGCAATTAAAATAATTTTTAGTATTTAATTATATAAATACGTTTAGTCCGAAATTAGTTCACGCGAAACACAGAAGAGTTTTATGTATTACTATTAATCGATAGGGTGTGAAATCGATTATTATCAGTCTTTTAAGGTCGTTTTAAAGGAAAAAGGGAAAAATCGACCAGTTAAACGTGCAACAAGGTAACATTTATTTAAGGACAGATAAACTGTTAACCTATCATTTAAATATAAACGAAAATTAACTCTTGAAATATGATTAATATCAAAGTAATAGCAATAGTTAATGTTCTTGTAAAAATTGATATGTATTACCATTAATCGATAGGGTGTGAAATCGATTATTATCAGTCTTTTAACGTCGTTTTAAAGGAAAAAGGGAAAAATCGACCAGTTAAACGTGCAACAAGGTAACATTTATTTAAGGACAGATAAACTGTTAACCTATCATTTAAATATAAACGAAAATTAACGCTTGAAATATGATTAATATCAAAGTAATAGCAATAGTTAATGTTCTTGTAAAAATTGATATGTATTACCATTAATCGATAGGGTGTGAAATCGATTATTATCAGTCTTTTAACGTCGTTTTAAAGGAAAAAGGGAAAAATCGACCAGTTAAACGTGCAACAAGGTAACATTTATTTAAGGACAGATAAACTGTTAACCTATCATTTAAATATAAACGAAAATTAACGCTTGAAATATGATTAATATCAAAGTAATAGCAATAGTTAATGTTCTTGTAAAAATTGAACTGCTACGCTTTTCCTTTGTCAATAAATAATTAAGGTGGTACCAAACACCTTGACTAAAATTAATTTGGCTCGTTTAATTTTCACAAAATTTTGACAAAACATTTTCTTTGACACTTTGACAAAAATATGAAAATTTCAAAAAACTTAAACCACACACTTTATCGGAAAAATTTCATTGGATATATAGCAGTTTGACAATCACTAATTTTGATCATTGAGAAGTTTAATACTTCCTTAACAATAAAACGTGATTAAAACGTTCAGCTGATTTTTACAGAGTTATCTCCCTGTAGTGTTATGTACCACCTTAAATAATATTTATTTTATTATAGATGCGATATTTTTTTAATGTAGTTGTGGTATGTTTTTATTGTAATTATACGTTTTATGCTTTACGAGGTATCAGTTTTACCCCACTGCTTGATGTCAAAATTAATTTTTGCGACATCTTTAGAAATTCTCAATTATTCTTCAAACATATTTGTATTAGATTAAAGTTACATGACAGATGTTTTCCACTTGTTTTATTGATTGACAGCGTTTGATATTGTCAGTTTTTATGGACTAGCCCTTTTGGAATTTGCCTTGGAGTTCGGTTTTTTGTTACACTCATTAATATGTGAAGAATTGAATCAAGTCATGTTGTATAGACCTACACGAGTTTTCGTTCAAATTGGTGGCATCGACTTAACATCTATTAAATTTCTACACGTCCAAAAATTGCATTTTCGATATACTTACTACATGCAAACTGTATAAATGGTGTTTAAATCCTAAACACAATTGTAAATACATTGTACATTATTTGCACACTTTTTTTCAACATGTTTAAATTCTTAACATGTTTAGATTGAAGAAAGTGTTTAGGGTTGTGTTTAGGATCATGTTAGCTTAGAAATTAGTATAAAATTCATGTATAGACCACCCCGAATTTTCGTTCAAATTGGTGGCATCGACATAACATCTATAAAATTTATATATGAGTACGTCAAAAAATGCATTTCCGATATCCTTACTACATGTAAACTGAAGAAATTATTTATGATTGTGTTTAGGATCATGTTTAGATTAGAAATTAGTGTTTAAGTCCTAATATCTTTTAATTCTAAAACACATTAAAATTCAAGACATGTGTACATTTAATGTGTTTACTTAGAAATACATAATTCGATAAAATTGCAATAATATTACAACAAATATAGATTTTCCAGATATATGAGGGCGAACAAAGATTAGTATATAGATATTTTTTGTCTCGCCTCTACCAAGTAATGGAGGCGTGCTGTTTCCGGTGGCGTCGGCGGCGTCAACATTTTTTTTTTATATTTGTGAAAATGTAAGTTTTTGATGGGGACTACTAACGATAAGTCAATGGATATTTGGTACGCATTTGTATTAGCATTGGCATATTGTTATGGAGATTATACGGCCTCGCCTCCCGAACGATGGTTCATTGACTGCGAAAGTTTTAACAGCATTATCATATCTCATTTCCATGGGGAATATTTGGCCCTGCAACTTCAGTCATGTTTAATTGACTTTGAATGTTTAGCGTGATAAATGCATGATAAAGTGTCTTCATTTTAATTTCAACAATTGCATTTAACTATTAAAGTTACATACATACATGACAGATGATACATATTTCTATGTCAACACTTTATTATTCTAGAGTGACACTACCCAGACATTTTTTTTTCAGCGGAGTTTGGAAGGTGGTTACAAATAGACATGAAAGATGATACATATATCTGTGTTAACACTTTATTATTCTAGAAGTTGGAAGGTGGTTAATACTGCATGTGCAATATTAATTTCAAAATTGATCGACGGGCAAGGGATATTGAATATCGTGTCTACTTCTTTATAAGCGTATAATTGGTTTATTATGTACGTACATCATCTATACGAAATTTCAGTGATACTTTGCCTTTATCATCGAACCTGTGATGAATAATTGTCGATGTTTCTACTTTGTTTTGATGTATAGTGTCATTTTATCGTATGAAAAATGTATCGCATTTCTATTAGAAAATATCACATTGGAAAAGTTTTTCATAATAAAAGTATATCGCTATTCTATTAGGAAAACGTTGCACTAGTATAAGAAAAAATAGCATTATTATCCT